TACTACCATTGCGCAAATTATGTATTTATATAATACTAAATAAACTTAGTAAAGATATTCAAAATTGGGAAAAAATAAAATTAATATAGGAAACAAGAGCTGAAGTACATGGGAACTAAAGTAAACAAGGAAATATTTAGAAAAAGTTATTTGTATCAAGCACCAAAATTATATAATAATATTCCAAATGAAATATGATGACTGTTAAGTATAAAAAATAAAAACATTAAGTTAGCATTAAGTAAATGGATAGCTAATATAGGAGAACCAGGAAGTATTATTTAAAGTTTATGCACCATATAAAAGATAAAAATAGGTCAAGCAAGGATGAGCCCTCTCATATTCACCATGTGCCTTAGTAGTTCACCAACGTAATGTATTTCACACCAAAGCTTATCCCAGTCGACCTGATGAGCTCTGTTATTGGACGAAAGGCTTCTTTGGCATTGGATATAACAGATATATTATTACATTCTTTTTAATTTCACTTATAATTGTTTATAACTAATAACATGCATTTTTCGACTGCCATTAACAATTTCTTGTAGGCTACATTGTAATATATAAATTTAGATGTTTTGTATTGTTTACTAGAGGGAGTTTTCACATGACATGATGATGTGTAACATCTAGAAATTTACTGAGTGTCTAGATTTTACATGACATCTCACACTTTCCATATATCAAAAATAGATAATAATATAAACACACCAGTCTGTTAGTGAGTCAGCTAGTTAAAGTGTGTTAGTTAAGCAGTAAGTGAGTTATTCAGTTCGTAAATCAGTTCAGTGCTGTAGATATTTAAGTTAGCTACTTTAAAGGAAATTAAACAAGTAACTTTTAAATTTCATTTATGAGTTAGGACGTATCAATGGACGTAGCCTGTATAACGTTATCAAAGAAATATATATAAATAACTCATTACAAAAAGTGAACTAGACTTTGCATTATTTTTACCAAATAATTAAAAAGAACACGCCTAGTGATATAAACTTTTATGACACTTGTGTAACAAGGGGATATTTTGGTATATTCCAGAATAAATTCAAGACGATGACACATAATCAAAGTGAGATCGAACATTTGCTGAGGATGATGAAATACTTTAAATGAAATCAATCAAAAATAGAGTGTTAAAAAAAGATCAAGAAGAAAGAGCCAGAAAAACATATGAGCACACAGGATAATGAAGGCAACTAATCTGGAATGCAACAGAGAAGAATAGGTGGTTTAAGCCAAAAGTTAGCTGTTGTGATCGTCTTTGTAAGGACATTTACAGGAAGACAGCCAACTGCTTAATTACAGCAAAGACTCTGCCAGTGATAAGTCAACCTACTGGAAGCCTGAGGTTCCTATCGAGACCACATCCAGTGTATCACTGAGGATGGAGCCACTAGTGGATTCCATCGACCATCTACCTGGAGAGAACTCCCCTAGTGACAAAACAGTAAGGGGTGGTAAGGGACAAGAAGTCATCACATCTTTGTACTATTTGTGATAGAAGAAAAACAATAAAAAATATTTGATGAAAGGATCATTTAAACAATATAAATCAGTAAAGAAAGAAATACTTGTTGACCAAAATTAAGATTGTACTTTGTGTTTTGTAAATTTCAGTACTGGTTCAACAATTGTAATGCTAGATGTTTGAATATTAATATTGTTGATTGTAAAAAAATAATTTTACTGCTAATTATGGAATTTTAAGTTTAGTTCACTGCTTTATTTATGTATTGGCATTGTTCAAGGTACTTTAAGATTAAAGAATAGAGCAGTATTGTAGCCTATGTTTTAACATTTTAATT